CAATTCCTGCCCCGGTCTGCAACCGATTGGAGGTCCTTCTCGAGACTAACGGCCAGATTAGTTTTGTCAGCGACACCAGATTTACTATTGAGGCAGGAGTAAATAGTTGTGTCGTCAGCATTTTCCAGGTTAAAGAGAATACAAATTCGTTTCTTGCCGAGAGATTAATTTTCTTTAATAAGACTTTCGAGACCTTTGCCGGTAGATGTTAATTTCGCTGTTTACAGATATCTACTCAAATTCTTGTACCCTCAAAAATGATATTTACATCACATCTATATAATAAATGCGAATGTCAGTGTGTCACTGTGTCACACGTTTTCAACTTTACTCCAAAATCTCCTACATATTTTCGTTTTCATTAAATTGTATCACCTAACGTCCATATATTTCCATGACTTTTCCGCTAACCAGATGAATATTCATGAGCACTCATATACTAAAAACATTTTTGCTCTTGTATATGAATACTTGCCACAAAATAAAATCCCTACATTTGCCTTTATAGATCCCTTAAGATGACGAAACGCGTCGACTAAGAATAGTTTTTCCTCTTGTTTTTTCATTCATTTTGTACCTTTACAGATACACTCTATCTGAAAATAAATTACACACACAGACGTGCACATACAGATATATATATATTGTTTTTGTATAAAGAGAGAAAGAATGAAAGAGGGAGAGATTAGAGTGGTCCTTTTTTTTACAACTTCAGTAATTTGAACAGGTACCCTTTGAAAGCGTTTTATCTTCTTATAAGTCGACCCTGTGTATGTGGCATAGCGGACCCTAGCTGTAAATTTCGTCTGAACATTAGCCATAAAAATAGCGGTAGAGCAGCGTGGGGCGGGGAGTTTGCGATTTTTCGCCTGTGGGGAAACGGGTTGTATAATGGAAAATAATTAATTCCCCACTAATCCGTGTAAACACTTTTGCACCCTGTCAAGGCTGCAAAGTGAAGATTAGGCAGATCCGGCCCGGATAGCAGCAATGCTATATTTTTGGTCTGATCTGACTCTTGTAAAGACAGCTCATGGTGTCAGATTCTTTCTAGCGCGGTACAAAGAACTTTTGTAACATTTTTTAGCTAGGGATCTTATTCTGGCTCTGTCGGGCGATAATTAAATGTTACCAATTTGGTAATTAAAATGTCTCCCCGTCCCAATCTAGCCAAACATCTCTGGTCAGGATCATTAAGAATCTATGTTCAGTCAATCTTTTTTCCACGTTTTAGTGGTAATGCCCGGTATGTACGTGACACCATAGAAAGAAGGTTGTCAAACATCCACACAATTTTGGAAATGGAATATTCCAACTGTCTGGGACAGTGTACCATAGCCTGTTTAGGTTTATGTAACTCACATATGCCATGAACAACTTAAGTGGTGACGCAAAGTCACCAGATGGCAATGCGAGATGATATAGATCTGAGCATCTATGACGTCAAGGTAGGGTAAAGCCACCTGGCATTATTTTCCATACTGCTATACCATGAATTTTGGTACATCAGCGCATGCATATATATATATATATATATATATATATATATATATATATATATATATATATATAAAGATATGTTTATGGTACAAAAAGAAATAGTTTTATTATTACCACGCATGATAATAAAAACTAATTAAAAAGTTATTAAAAATGAAAAAACGGGCTAGCTAACCGGTTTCGTATCTCGCTTAACAGAACTAAATCGTGGTAAATAGAGTAAATTATATATACATATATATATACATACATACATACATATATATATATATATATATATATATATATATATATATATATATAACAATGGGCAAAATGTATTGTTGGGAAGAAGAAAAAAATTAAATGGTAATTAGTTGGAGGCCTAATATAAAGTCCTACTGTTTACAAAGAGAAGGCTTTAATGATAGAATATAGATGGCCTCCAACACTTTTAGGTGGTAATTAGAGTGGATGGTACTAAAACTAACAGCACAATTATGGCTATTTATAAGGTGTTCTGCGATGGAAGACCCGTATGTATTGGTCAAAAATGTCCGAGGGAGTGTACTTAAGGTTTCGGATTTTCGGTGGAACGTGTTGTTTTATTCTGGCATCTAGCCTTTGCGTCGTGTATATATATATATATATATATATATATATATATATATATATATATATATATATATATTTACAAACTTTGGGAGCGGGTTCCTCGCAATAAACAAGGACAAAAGTCCATATAAACAGTCTAGAAGAATCCTCAACAGAATGCAGAATGCACCGGACGGCCATTTCGTCCTATTTGGGACTTAACAGCAGTGCGCATCCACTAGCGAGAATCGAAACCGGACAGTTTCGATACAACACAAGTCTCATACCAAGTGTATCAACGGACCTCGGGGACAAAAAATATCTGAATAGACTCGATATAGCGTTGCATCGAAAAAGTCCGGGTTCGATTGTCAGATATACACAGAGAGAGAGAGAGAGAGAGAGGTGGAAGAGAGAGAGGGGAGAGAGAGAGGAAGAGATAGGGGGGGGAGACATATGTGTGTGCAGCAGGAAATAATGTTATAATAATCAAAACCACGTGAACGCGAATTTCATAACGCTATAACGGTTAGTGTGTATTTTGCACCTGAATATTGCAGGGTTGCATGAAAAGCCGAGTCATGCCATCGACGTAGGATATTATGTATATTCACTAATATATACTTAATAGCTCTGTTTTAACACATTGAGCACTATTTTTATATCACCTAAGAAATACATATATATATATATATATATATATATATGAGTGATAGAATTTTGAGGAATTAGAATAATCAATATAGTAATTCAGCGAGTCTAGAAGAATCCTCAACAGAATGCAGAAAGCACTGGGCGGCCGTTTCATCCTATTTGGAACTAATCAGCAGTACGCATCCACTACCGAGAATCGAACCCGGGCCGTTATGGTACGACGCAAGCGTCGTACCACCTGTACCAACGGGAAGAAGAAACGAAATAGACTCGATATAGACTCGAGTCTAGACTCGATACACACACACATATATAATGTGTGTGTCTGCATATAATTATTTTAAAGAATTAATTTTAATCCATGCTCTGACATTATTTTACTGTATACGTTAGTATATGATTTTAGTAAACATCACTGTTTTTCAAACAGATATACACAGAGAGAGAGAGAGAGAGAGAGAGAGAGAGTGGGGAGAGAGGGGAGACATGTGTGTGTGTGCAGCAGTTATAATAATCAACGCCACGTGAACGCGAATTTCATAACGCTATAACGGTTAGTGTGTATTTTTTTGCACCTGAATATTGCAGGTTTGCATGAAAAGCCGAGTCATGCCATCGACGTAGGATATTATAGCTTAATAGTATCCAGGCTGTTTAACGAAAAATATATTGTTAAGAAAAACAGAAACATCCACTTAAACACGTGTATCTACAAAATGTAACGATATAGGAATAAGGTATATCTATAGGCATGATTTCTTTTATTTCACTTTATTTAAAGCGATCATGGCTCTCCAAATCTTCCTTTTTCTTGCTTAAATCGTTTTATCATCTTTTTTCGTCATCCATTCCCACAAATTTGGTAAGTAGATCACTGCTTCCTCTGTGTTTCTTGGCTAGAATATATATTGTGGGTGTTAAATTCTCTAGGTCCGCTTTCCTCATTATATATCCTATAATTTCCAACTGTCACTTTATGAGTGAATGCATGTTTCTTTGTTCCTATTTTCGTTAAGACTACATTACTGCTCATATATTGTCTTTGATATTCTAAGCATCCGTTGAAAGAAATCGTATCTGCGTCGTATCAAGTCTTTTCTTCATCCGTGAGGAAATTATCCAACAGTCACTGACATATAGGAAATTAGATATTACATAGCAGTTCAGCATTGTTTTCTTTGTTTTTAGGGATATTTTCCTGCGTCTTGATACTTTGTTTATTTCTGAAAGACATCTTTTGCTATTCCCATGTGAAGGAAAAAGAAGAAAAGGGAAATGGGTGAAGGCGAAAAGAAAAAGAAAATGAAAAAGAGAAAGAGAAAGTAAAGAAATAATAGAAGTGTTTGAAGAAATGAATCAGTGTTTATGCAAGGAAAACAGAAGGCGGCAAAGAAGAAAAGATTCGAGGAAAAGGAACAAGAATAGAAATGAGTGGCGACATAATAGCAAATGCTATTTACGACTGGAAACAAATATGATTAAAAACAAAGAAGAAGAAAAAGAAAACTAATGATGTATGAAAATAAGTAAATAAAGAAACAAACAAACAACGAAAAGAAAGAAAGAAAGAATTATAGACAATGCAATATGGAAGAAAGAAAGAAAGACAGAAAGAAAGAATTATAGACAATGCAATATGGAAGAAAGAAAGAAAGAAAGAAAGAATTATAGACAATGCAATATGGAAGAAAGAAAGACAGAAAGAAAGAATTATGGACAATGCAATATGGAAGAAAGAAAGAAAGAAAGAAAGAAAGAAGAATTATAGACAATGCAATATGGAAGAAAGAAAGAAAGAAACAAATAAAGAAAGAAAGAATTATAGACAATGCAATATAAAAGAAAGATAGAAAGGAAGAAAGAAAGAATTATAGACAATGCAATATAGAAGAAAGAAAGAAAGAAAGAAAGAAAGAAAGAAAGAAATAGACAATGCAATATGGAAGAAAAAGAAAGAAAGAAAGAAAGAAAGAAAGAAAGAAAGAAAGAAAGAAAGAAAAGGAGTTAGCAGAAATTATATAGGAGGGAGAAATAAATAAACAACGAAATGAAAGAAAGAATGAAAGAAAGAAAGAAAAAGAATAAGCAAAAATTACTGAGGAGAGTGAAATATATAAACAACGAAAAGAAAGAAAGAAAGAAAAAAAAAAAAGAAAGAGTGAATGAAAAAAAGAAAATCAAATATTAGCAGGAATTACTGAGGAGACAGAAATAGATAAAACAACGAAAAGAAAGAAAGAATGAATTAAGGGAAAATAAAAAGAAGAAATAAATTATAGATAATGCAATAAAAGAAAGAAAGAAAGAAGGAATGAATTAATGAATGAAAGAAAGAAAGAAGGAATGAATGAAAGAAAGAAAGAAAGAAAGAATGGAAGAAAGAAAGAAAGAAAGAAAGAAAGAATGGAAGAAAAAGAATTAGCAGGAATTACTGAGGAGAGATAAATAGATAAAAAACGAACAGAAAAAGGAAAGAAAAAAGAAAGAATAAAGGAATGAAGGTAAAAAACGAAAGCAGTAATAGAAAATGATTGAAGAATAATAAACTAGACATATAATAATAATAATAATAATAATAATAATAATAATAATAATAATAATAATAAAACCCGTACCCATCAGTGGCTACGTAGTGCAGGGTTGAAAGCGGAAACTGAAGGTTTTATCCTTGCTGCGCAGGACCAATGCTTGCTAACTAGGAATTATCAAGCACATATACTAAAATATTGTGTCAGCCCAAAATGCAGATTCTGTGATAAATATCCAGAAACGATTGATCATCTTGTATCAGGTTGTACGGTGTTGGTTACCCACTGAATATAAAACTCGACATGACAGAGTGGGCCAATATCTGCACTGGAAAATCTGCAACTTCTACGGGAAGGAAACTGAAAGAAACTGGTATGAACACCACCCAGACCCGGTTACGGAGATAAGACCTGTTACAATTCTATGGGACTACACAATACACACTGACAGAACAATCAAGGCCAACCGGCCAGATATTGTTATTAAAGACCACAAACAAAAACGATGCCTCCTTATTGATATAGCAGTCCCTGCTGACTGCAATGTATCTTTGAAGATATTCAAAAAGCTGTCAAAATACAAGGACCTTGAAATAGAAATCTCGAAAATGTGGCATATGGGAACATCAACAATCCCTGTTGTAGTTGGAGCCCTAGGACTGGTTGGAAAAGATTGCAGTAGACTAATTGAAGGGATTCCTGGAAGTCCACGCTTCAAGGAGATACAAAAAATTGTTCTGACAAGTACAGCCCACACCTTACGAAGGGCTTTATCTATGTAATTTAATTTTTTTTTTTTTTTTTTGTCAGTGGAAAGTGTCATGACGCCATTTCTAACCTTAGGTCCCCAAGGGACCCGGAAAGAAATGTGTAAACGCCAGAAATCAAAGAAAATAATAATAATAATAATAATAATGATAATAGAAAGATAAAAGTAAATAAAGAATTTTCGAATAAATGAAAGAAGAGGGTCGTGAGAAAGATAAAATACTCGACAGAGTAATGGCATTGATGGGTAAAAAGAAACAGAAAGTAAGAAGAAGACTGAAGAGAAAAAAAAAAAGAAAAGAAAAGAAAAGAAAAGAAAAGAAAAGAAAAGAAAAAGAAAAGAAAAGAAAAGAAAAGAAAAGAAAAAGAAAAGAAAAGAAAAGAAAAGAAAAAGAAAAAGAAAAGAAAAAGAAAAGAAAAGAAAAGAAAAAGAAAAGAAAAGAAAAGAAAAGAAAAGAAAAGAAAAAGAAAAGAAAAGAAAACAATGGGAAGAAGAGAAGCAAGACGCGCAGATGGAGATAAAGCAAAACAATGGCGGCCAGGTTGAGTGTATGTGGGAAAGAGATTTATCTTAACGATTTGTGCCCGTGCCGGAAGCCATCTTGCTGGAGTCACGTGACGCTCTAACAACATCCTTTCCCTGCACTTAATGCCCTGTCGTCTCTATTTACCAAACACCTTACCAAACACATGCCTTATGCTTCTTAGATGACATTCCGCAACACTGCCACAGATAAAAAGCGGAAGTTAAAAGAGAGAAGCAAGGGGGGGGGTCTGCTTGATTAGGATGTATCAGCCCGTGTGGTGGTCGTGGCGAGGGTGGTGGTGGTGGGAGGTTAGAATCTTGGATGTGCACGCGGATGGCGGTTGTGGGGGACAGTGACCGTTGTTGTGGTGATGGAGGTATATGGAAAGGAGAGAGCGGACTTTTTTTGTCATCTTTTAAGGCTGTGGTTCGTCTCGTGAGGAGACTTTTCGTGTGGCAGGTCTTCTTTTTTACTTTTTTTTTTTTTTTAAATATCTTCACTCCATCAACCGCTGGTAATTACCTTTGCTATTACAAAAAAAGAAAAAGAAAAAAAGAAAAAAACAAAGGAAGTCCACTCCCCCAATGAAAGGAAAAGAAAGAGACATGGGGGGAGAGATTGAGAGAAAGAGAGAGAGAGAGAGTAGGTGGGAAAGGGAGGTGTAAGTTTATGAAAAGAGAGTGACAAAGAGAGGGATGAATGACTGAAAGGTGTTCGTGTGACAACCTAGGCACCTGCAGAAAAGATGTTGATGAATCATGCCTTTACAAATGGAAGGGATTGATTGGCCGCCGGGCGGAAGGATTTTTATTTCTACACCTTTGAAGACAGATGATGGACAAGCCTGGGGCCTATGGCACAAAACGGCATCCGTAAAACAGGTAGTTTCCTGTGCGAAGGTCGCCAACCGTTCTCTTATTGTTTCTCTTTTTGGTTATCTCTTCCGTCTCCTGTCAACCCTATGTGATTCTTTTTGTTTTCGTTTATCTTTCATTAAAGTTCTTTTATTCTCCACTGTTATTTTCCCTTAATTCTTTCTGTACATTCTTCTTAATGCTTTCTGCTTCTTTTCTCTTATAAATGACAATAGACTGTCGATTCTTTGTATGAGTCCTGGGTATGACGATAAACTACATCCGGCAGTAAGGCCTCTGACCAGGAGGTTTTAAGGATCCTGGAACCACCCCTTTATTGCTGTTGTTCCCATGTCTACCCTGACCCGGGGTGGTAGCACCTGTTAGGGTCCCATTTATGTCGATATTTTTAACCCAGCCACAATCTGGGTTAAAAAAATTAAAAAGGGTATAAAATTTTATAGCAAATATACCAGCAATACATTTTCATACGAATAAAAATTACCAGCAGAACATTGTTTGTATTTTTCCGTCTTTCTTTCTTTCTTTCTTTCTTTCTTTCTTTTTGATTTATTTATAATTTATTTCGTCTCGTTAGTTTTCCTTAATTCATTCATTCATTCATTCATTCTTTCTTTCTTTTCGTTGTTTTATCTATTTCTCAAACCTCGGTAATTCCTGCTAATTCTTTCTTTCTTTCTTTCGTTAATTTTCCTTTCCTTCTTTTTCTTATTACTTTATAATTTATTTCTTCATTGTATTTCCCTAAATTCTTTCTTTCTTTCTTTCTTTCTTTCTTTCTTTCTTTTCGTTATTTTATCTACTTCTCTCTCCTCAGTAATTCCTGCTAATTCTTTTTCTTTCTTTCTTTCTTTCTTTCTTTCTTTCTTTCTTTCTTTCTTTCTTTCTTTCTGTTCAGCGTTTTATCCATTTCTCTCTCCTCAGTAATTTCTTTCTTTCTTTCTTTCGTTCTTTCTTTCAATGTCTGTAACTACACGCGACTTGTTTTTTTTACCTTTTTATTTGATTTCATTTTCTTCATTTTTATTTGATTTTCTTTCTTTTTTATATATTTCTTTTGAGTTTTTGTTTTCTTTCTCTTCTTTTTTCTTCATCATTTATTTTGAGGTTTCTGTTGTCTTCATCTCTTTTTTTTTTTTACATATTTTGAATCCTTGTATTCTTAATGTCTGTCTGTCTTTCTTTCTTTCATTCTTTCTTTCTTTCTTTCTTTTTCTTTCTTTCGTTCATTCTTTCTTTTTCTTTATTTATTTCGTTCTTTCTCTACTTTTCTTTCTTTCGTCCTTTCTTTCTTTTTCTTTCTTTGTTTGTTTGTATCTTTCTTTCTTTGTTTTATTCATTTTTTTCTTTTTTTCTTTCTTTCCTTCTTTATTTCCTTGTCTTTTCTTTATGCTTTTCTTCATCTGTTTCTTTCTTTTTATTTTCAATATTTCGCCACATCTCTTATTGTGGTCTGGATATTTTCCTTCTTTTTTATACATTTCATTTCGTTCATTTTCTTCTGTCTTTATACTTTTGCTGTTCATTATTCTTCATTCTTTTATTTACAAATCTCGGATCTCTCTTTCTTAACATTTCTTCTTAGTCTTTTTTCTTTATCTTTCGTGTGACTTTATATCTATCTATCTATGTATCTATCTATCTATCTATCTATCTATCTATCGCTTTTATCTATCTTTTCATAATCGTTTTTCTGATATATATGACTATATTTTTACTTCGTACTTTTATTTGTTTCTTTCTTTCATTCTTCTTGACATCGTTTTCTTTCTTTCTTTCCGTTGTTTTATCTATTTATATCTTTCTCTTCAGTAATTCTAGCTAATTCTTTTCTTTCTTTCTTTCTTTCTTTTTTATGGCTTTATTTATAAACTATTTCTTCTTATTTCTCCTTAATTGTTTGCTTGTTTGCTTCTTTCTTTGTTTCTTTTTCTTTCTTTCTTTCTTTCTTTCTTTCTTTCTTTCTTTCTTTCTTTCTTTCTTTCGTTCGTTCGTTCGTTCGTTCTTTCTTTCATTTTCATTTTTTTCATCTTTATATCTATATTTCCCCCTTGTTAGTTTGTTTCTTTCCATCTTCCTTTCCCCATCATTTTTATGTCATTACTTCCCCTTTTGTTCGTTCGTTTGTTTGTTTCTTTGTTCGTTCGTTTGATTGCTTGATTGTTTGTTTGTTTGTCCCTTTCTTTGTGTCTTTGTTTATTTGTTTCTTCCTTATGTGTTTTTTAATCTTTCTTAGCGTTTATATTTACTCTTTTTTCTTCTTTCTTTTTTCTTTCTCTTTTTTTCTTTATTTTTATTTTTTTTCCTTTTTTCTTTGTGTCTATAATTTTGTTTGTTCCAATTTCCATATTTCTCCTTTTTTTTATTTCATTCTTTCTTTCATTGTAAGCCCGTACTTTTTCTTTTTCCCTTTCCTTTCTCTTTCTTTAGTTCTCTTTTCATTTACCTGTCAACTTAGAGTATTTTAAAAAAATCTTTATTACCACGTCTCCCCCCGCACTTGACAGTTCTCTTTTGTCAACGCCCTTCTTTTTTTTCCTTCTTCCTTCAAAGTCTTTGTTTCCACTGCTTTCTATTTCGTGTCCTTATGACTGCTGTTTCTACTGCCCAGCGGCGGTACACGGTACCTATCAACCGTTAACAATGGCTGTTTGCAGGCACAAACGAGAGGCTGTCGGCTGCTGTTGACATTTTAATATCGTCCCTCCACCTCAAGAATGGCTATTGGATATGATGAGATTATTTTGGAAGTTTTATTTTTATTTATTTATTTCTAATTTGTTATTCTTCTGTTTGCGTTTTCTCGTCATTTTGGATCATTAGATTTTTACGTTTTATATTCTCTTTTCAAATCTCGTTCACAGTTGACGTGGGTTTATGATATCGGGCTTTACCCAGCTAAAATCAATTCGGCGCAAGGCCAAATAGCGAGGAAATTGGGATCGACAAAGAGTGTTATTCGAGGTCTTCTCAATTTTGGGAGTTTGTTCCATTTTGAGGACGATACGTGACACCCTGGACTATGAAGCATTATGAAGTGATTATCTGGATATTTACCTTACATTCTTTTTTCAAGTAGATCCAGAAATTAATTTAAGCGTTTAGTACAAGATTAGCAGTTTGGTTTCATAATTTTTGCTGTTTAAATTGAAAGCGTATCTGATGTAATGGAATAGCCAGTCACCCCCATGAATGATTACACTATAGGTAGTAAGTACCTATAAGGTCACCTGTCTACGAGAGAATCGGAGAAGAGTAAGAGAGAGATGACGCAAGTATGTCCGACCTTCCAGTTAGTGGCAATCATTACTAGATTGATCTGTGTGTATAACTACCGTATTTCATATTGTACTGGTTGTGTACAATAAACCTTTCTTCTGTTAAGTATTTATTACCTTGGAACGGAATATAACAGTATCCATAAGTTCTCTTCTAATATTCATTTTCTAAGCGTGGCGTAGATGTGGCACAAGGCCGAGAGTATGAGGTACCCAATGAGGCTCGAATCACTAGTCAGTCGTAATTATTCTAGCAAGACAAGCTTGCTAACCATTACACCACGCCGAGGGGCCCTTATTTACTTGCCTACCCCAACTGAGTCAGCTTGTGACACAAGATCATTTTTTAACGTGGAGTCCCGAGTGTCTTCACTCGGGCCGCTAATCATAGCTTGTTTAAGCTACTCCAAGCTGGTCAGAGCTGTGATACTACCAGCGCAGGGAGAGATCCCTATGACCAGTAACAGAATGTGTATACCACTGAAAGAGTCTTCCCCCCGCACCACTCGTTTGTGGAACTCTCATTCGGTTAAATATGATCTTCAAAAATTCAAACGTAACGTCGAAATTAAATGCAACCTCATCTTTTGTCTCCTCGAAGTCCGTTTTTTATTGTCCTTTCTCTTCAGTAAAAAAAAAAATCTTCTTAATGTTTCCTACTTCTTTTCCCTTATCAATGCCATTAACCTGTCGAATCTTTGTTGTCCTCGGTACGACGATAAACTGCTTCTGGCAGTAAGGCGTCTGATCGGGAGTTTAAGAAGCGTGGAAACACTTCTTTATTGCAGTTGTTCCCATGTCTACCCTGAGCCAGGAGGGTAGCACCTATTAGAGTCCTACTTATGGGCAAATAGTTAACCAACACCAAACTGGGGTCAAAACATTATGAAAGTATAAAGTTTTGTAGTAAAAATACCAGCAATACATTTTCATAGTAATAAAAATTACCAGCAGTGCATTTGCTTCTATCTTACTTACATCCATTCATTCTTTCTTTTTTCTTTCTTTCTTTCTTTCTTTCTTTTCGATGTTTTATCTATTTCTCACTCCGCAGTAATTCCTGCTAATTCTTTATATTTCTGTCTTCGTTTACTTCTTTCTTTCTTTCTTTTTTTCTTTCTTTCTGCTGTTATATTTATTTCCCTCTCCTCAGAAATACCTGCTAATTCTTTCTTTCTTTCTTTCTTTCTTTCTTTCTTTCTTTCTTTCTTTCTTTTCGTAAGTTCTCTCCTAATAGTTTCTTCTACCGTACTTATCATTTCTGGAACTCTCATCCGGCGTTTTGCTTCCCAGTTAAATATGATCTTCAAAAATTCAAAAGCAACATCAAAATTTTAATGCAACCTCATCTTCAGCCTCCTCGTATCTGTGTTTTTTATTGTCCACTCTTTTCAATAACAAAAAAAAAAAAAAAAAAAAGAAAAAGAAAAAGTGGATGCGATGTAATAAATAACAGCTCGGAATTAGAAATTGGAGAACCGAGTTCAAATTCCAGTCGGGTTCGTTGCATTAGTTTACGCACTCATTAGCTCGGGACAGGTATTAATCCATATGTCTCCCCAGCGGGACAGACTTGACTCTATAGCCTTGGTTGGCCACCCGTATACCGCAGAAAGAGATGGCAACCTTCTGCGAGAAATCTACCTAATCAGTAATGAATCTTGAGTTATGATCATCCAAGCGTGTATCGCCGTCCTGGGTAAGACGATAAACTACGTCCAACAGCAAGGTCTCTGTTAGGGTCCCAGCTATGGGCAAATACTTAACACTCAAACTTGGGTCAAAATACTATGAAAGTGAAAATTGGTTTTAATACCAGAAATACTTTGTAAAAAAAATATTACCAGCAATACATTTTTGAAAAAAAAAATCACCAGCAATAAAAATTTTGTCGGCATTAAATGACCCATTGAGGTGTTGATATGTCATAAAACAAAACAAACCAAAACCAAACCAAGTGAGTAATTTAAAAAAAAAACTTTTTACGGAAATAAAACCATCCGAGTTTGTAAATTTCCTAAAAGAAGTTGGATTCTACTCAAAAGTAAGAGTAATTGAAAAATGGTTCAAACATATATGTATACATACACACCTTTTTTTTTACCTAAACAATTGCTAGGAATCTATTTCAAACTTTTGTTGGCATTAAATGACCCACTGAGGTTGATATGCCATAAAACAAAACAATCAAAACAACCAAGCGTGTATCGCGTATGGTACTTGACTTGACTTCTCAGTATCAGTTTCTCGGTTTCTTTTTACACTCAGTAACCCACTTGCGTCTTAGTGGCTTTATCATCTTGCTTGCATTGAAATGATTAAGAAAAGAATGAGTATATATATTTTTTTAAATAAATATCAAATTTGAGTAAACCATTGGCGTTTGTTTGTATATATGACGTGTCTATATTTAATACTTGGTGTCTGTGTTGTATTTCATTTGATGAGGTAAATACATTACCTACGATTATGGAAGGGTCTTGTTCCAGTATGCCGTCTAGGTTAACGTAAATAGCAGAAAAGTAATGAGTGGTAACGCACAGTAACAAAGGTGAGGCGTTGTTAAAGTGAAAAAAAAACTTGATTTATACTTTCGCCTAACTAAATGATTAGTGTGTATGAGAGTTACTGCATAGAAGGAAGATTTTCATCTGCTGTTGATATCGGACTCCTGACATCTCTACGGCTGATTTCTGTCGTCGGATTTGATTTGATTTGTTTGTTTAACGGCATATCAACTCCATATGGCTCATTTAATGTCGAAATTTAATTTTCTTAGGAGTTTTGAAGTAATAAAAATATGATATATGTTATTCTGCTTTCACAGTTAGATACATGGTAGATAATTCTCAGCTTTTTTGCATATATATGTTTGTGTGGACATGATTACTAGAGACGGTGATATGTGTGTTTTATGTTTTTGTTTTGTCTTTTGGAATACGGTTTGATTTCTTTAAGACATTGTTGGATATTATATGAATTAATATCATGAAAGAAGTTTTTAATGTTGGTTCTTTGATGGTACTGTAAGGAGATTGGATAAAGTCGCTAGAATTTATTAGTGGGCGTTTTATTCTCTATAGTTCTTAGCATGCCGTTCAGATTGGACGTTGGTTAGTTGATTTTGTTTAGCGGCATCTCAACACCTCTATGGGTTATTTAATGCCGAAATGTAAATATTTTGAATGCAATTGTATGCCATCAACTACGGATAAAATGTATTGGTAATTTTACTATAAATAGGTATTATTGGTAAGTTTATAAGAAATAGGTATTGTTGGTAATCTTACTAGAAATAGGTATTGTTAATTTTATGTAAAAATACTGACATTACCTATTTCTCATAAAATTACCAATAATACCTATTTATAGCAAAAATACCAATAATACCTACTTTCATGGCGTTTTGTATGGCTAACTAATTGCCCATAGCTGGGACCCTAACAGGTGCTACCACCCTATGTCAGGTTTTGCCTGGGAACAACAGCAATTAAGAGGTGGTTCACGTTCCTCAAAACCTTCAATCTCTCGATCAGAAACTTTGCGGTCAAATGCAGTTTATCGTCATACCCAGGACCTTCTGTCGTCGGCATCAGGATCCGCGGGTAGGTGTATTCGGCGAGTACCCAGACAAAATGGGCGAAGGATCAACCTTTTTGTCTCGAATCGAATTTATGACAATGACGACAAAAAATAGCTAATTCATTTCTCTGATTTAGTAAACGTTTATTTTTTATATTTTTTTTTATAAACTTGCTATATTATTGCTATGTGCCGACTTAGGGTTTTAAAATCATTCAGTGTGCCAACAGTATATGTATTTTTATACAAGTCAAGGTCAATATACCTGTTCAGCTAATATATTTTATATAGTAATATATAGTATATATATACTTTAGTATATATTAAAATTGAAACAGCTAAATATCTTCTTTGCGTTGTAGTAGTTATTGGTTCAGATTTTGTGATGTCATTTGCAGCTGCGTGCCATTGGAAATTGAATGGCGTGTCGCGTGTGGCACGCGTGCCGTAGGTTGCCGACTCTTGATGTAGGTTATCAATGTAAATAATTGGGGACTGTAGAGTAACAAATTTTTCCTGCAACATTTTTTCAAATAGGTAACAACATTTGCCTTTACAATCATCATTCGAAATATCAGCATTTACCTGAGCTGGAACGCCGGAAACGTAGGAAATGTGCAGTTATCCCATCTATGAAGCAGGATCAGACCATTCACTGTGTAACTGGATTTTTGCCGTTGGATAGCAACTGTTAATTCCTATTTGTTTATGCCTAGAAAGTATGAAAAATGGCTAATATTTTCCTCAAACTTTGCTTTTATGATCAGGATAATATTAATAGCTATATGTTTTTGTAAAAATAATATTACCAGCTATACGTTTTTGAAAAAAATAATATTACCAGCTATAAGTTTTTGAAAAAAATAATATCACCAGCTATACGTTTTTGAAAAAATAATATTACCAGCTATACATCTTTGAGGAGAAAAATATTATCAGAAATAGATTTTTGATAAAACAAAAATATTACCAGGAAAAAAAAAGTTGTCGGCATTAAATGACCCATTGAGGTTGATATGCCGTAAACCAAACCAAACCAAACCAAACCAAAAAAAGTTAATTTTTTTTTACACAGAATTATCGTTAGAAAAGAAATAGGAAACCCAATAAAAACTACTCCTCCTTCTACACTACTATTACTATTACTACTACTATTACTACTACTACTACTACTACTATTACTATTACTACTACTACTACTACTACTACTATTACTATTACTACTAGCAAAAACTACTATAACGGCTTTCGTCTAGCGGTTCTTATTGGCAATCCTTCCCGAATTAATCCGACTCAAAAAGCCTCTAAAATTCAACATTATCATCATCATCATCATTAAATATTTGAACTTAACAAATTTAATATTGCAATAACAATCATGAAAAAATTTGAAATTGACATTTTTTTCCATTTCACGGAAACAGAATTTAAACACTTTTATCTTCCCTCCCTTCTTTCCTACTGAAACAAAGTAGCGTCTCTGATATGTCTTTCTGGAAAATTAAAACGGACTAGTCCGTTATTTATGTGGTATTGTTAGGAGACGTTAACAATTTTATCTTCACTTTTTTTTCTTTCTATTTTTCTTTCTTTTTCTCACTGAAACCAAGTGACATCTCAGATATGTCATTTCCGTCTTTTCACGCAGTCAAAACGGCATACACTATCATTTATTAGGTATTGACAGGACGTAACGGTAGTGCGAGCTAACTGAGAAAGGGAGGGATAAGAAGAAGAAGAATCATCATCATCATCATTATTATTATTATTATTATTATTATTCCCAGAAATTCATACACAGATGTCCTCAAGGACACATGGCACAGTGGATAAAGGCGTTGGTTAGATCCAGTGACAGGACCCAAATTGTGTTAGTTCAATACCCGGCTAAGGCAGTAGAGAACTTTCAGAGGAAAATTAACAGGAGATAACTCATAACTGACATCCATTAAAACATGGCACGTGGAACTAGAACAGTCTACACCAGTGAGCGAAATAAAGGGCTCAGTTCGACATTCCAACAAAATGAAGAAGGCTGGAGCGTACAACGGCCGAAACGTTCTAATAAATATGGCGACAAAGATGAGGACGAGAGTCCAGGTGCAAATTATTCAACATACAGAACGTGGTAGGCCAAAACGCATAGCAGATTATTAATAAAATGTTTCCAGTACACTTGCAGAACCAAGTCTACTGGAACAATTATGCAAAGATCCACTTGAAAATTTGCATAGGTATTCTGTAACGCCCTAGTATGTTTCTTGTGCCGTCTCACTAAGTGTCTGATTCCTCCTGCTATCTTCTACGTTTCCAAAAACCAGATTAGACCGAAAATGGTAGCGGAGAGTTTTTATTGTCTTCTTCACCGTTTAGAAATCAGAAAATAGTTACCCCACACAGCTAGAGGGCTATTCTACCCTTCTATTTAACCCAAAGCTGGAGGGAGAAAGGACGGATTCATATCATTCTCAAGGGCTTTTTTGCAAAAGGTTAACGCAAGAGACTACTGCGGAATTTGAAATCGGCTATTCGCGTTCCTTGCAGAAATCCGTGATGCTACCTACTCATCCTGAAATATATCTAAAAAGAAATAATTTAGTAGAAAAAAAAAGTAATTAATTAATTAAAGGAAAAAAAAAACAACGATAAAAAAAAACAACGATAAAAAAAAACGTGTATGATTCACTAAATTAGCGCTACACATCAGTTTGGAAAGTTATGAATGGAAACGGTTAAAATCTCGTGAGACTCAAATCTCGTGAGACCCAAATCACGTTCAGAGATTGGGCCTTATCATGTGGAAGTTAGTACGTCCCAACCCAAACGGAAGGTCATTAAAGAAAATTTTGGCAAGAGAGGAAGGCTGTGAGGTAATCATCATCACCATCATCATCATAGTTAAATTATTATTATCATTATTGTTGTTGTTGTTATTCTTGATAACGATTGATAGTGTTGTTCTAACCCCAATGGTACGGGCTTATTGTTAAAAGACAAAACAAGCACAATGCTACAGAAAAACCGTGTAGATTTACCTTTTTGAAAATAATGGAAAGCGTTGTATTTTGTCGGCCATTACGAATTTGTTTGACCGTTACGGCTTGTTCGTAAATCTGCGGTCATGTCCAAGAGGAAGTCCCTGCCCCGTGCCCACACCAACATACGGCTTTGTACGCATTTACTTGCCTGTGTGTAAGTTCATGTGTATGTTTGTATGTGCCTCTGTGGCGTGTGTACGCGTGGAGAAGGTTGTAATGTGAAGAGGACGTCTGTTGAGAATGATGAATTGTCAGCGAAGATTCGGTACCTCGCGCGGAAGAACACAAAGAAAGCAATACATCAGTGTGGCAGGCAGAAAAGGCAGGGCCGATGGCAAAAATACATTCGTCATATCTCGGAAGGAAACCAAGCTATAAATGATAAGTTATACGCCAGTGAGCGTATCAATCCTTTGCGGCCAAAATTACTTGCAGTAAAACGTTCTCCATTCTTCTTCTCCTTGTCTCCAAGCTATTACCATCATCTGTTCTTACCTACTACTACTACTACTACCCCACCATCTTTTACCTTCTTTTACCCACTGGTTAATTTCCCTCCTTCTCTTCTGCCTTTTATTTCCTTTTTATTTTCATCTAATTTTCTTCGCCATGATATTATTCTGTTGCTTCATTGTATTCGTAGTTTTCTTGTTTTTCTTCTCCTTTTTCTTCTCTTCTTTTCTTTTTCTTCTTTTTCTTCTCTTCTTTTTTCTTTTGTTTTCTTCGTTTTTTCTTTTTCTTCTCTTCTTCTCATCTATCCTTCTTTTTCTTTTTCCCTCTTCTTTTCTTCTTTTTCTTTTCTTCTCTTGATTTTCTTTTCTTCTTCGTTTTTTCTTCTCTTCTTTTCTTTTTTTCTTTTACTTCACTGGTTTTCTTCTCTTTCTTCTCCTCTCCTTTCTTCTTCTTCTTCTTCTTCTTTTCCACTATAATATTCTCTTTTTCCTTCATTGTATTCTTCTTATTCTTTTGGCATTTTACGCTCCTTCGCAATCATCATCATCATCATCATCATCATCATCATCATCATCTTTTCCTTCTTTTTTCCTCTATTTTTCCTCCCTTCTCACTCTTCAATCTTCTTTCTCTTTTTACCGTTGTTTCTGTTCTGGCTTACCTTCTTGTACTTTTCGCCCCACCACCTCTCTCTCCTCAGTCTCCTCTCCTTCATTTTCTTCTTTCATCATCATCATCATCATCACCTTTTTCTTCTTCTTCTTCCTCTTCTTCTACTTTGAAAATCTCTTTGCATTTTCCCATTGGCACGAATTCGGAAATATTGTCATTCCGCCTGGAAATTTATTTACAAGAGGTTTTCTCGTGTACGAAGGCCGGGAGTCGAAATAAAATACCGATTAAAAGAAACGTCTACTGAATTTCGCGTATCCATTAAAATAACGTTTGAAGTATGAAAAATATGTCAGATTAAATAAAAAATCAATTATTTCTTTAGAAATTGCTTTTGTTTACCTTTGGGATACGAAAGCATAGAATTACGACACGGCTTATATTTGAATACGCTCTATCCCTGACCAAATATTGAGCACTTTTCCACTGTAAAGAAAGAATACTATAAAACCATATTTTTATCATATATATATATATATATATATATATATATATAAAATATGGTTTTAAGATATATATATATATTTATTCGAAAATTATAACATCAATATATTATAAAATCAGTACAAAAATAGCCATTTTGTTTCAACAGTTATCTTATGTCTTTTCAAGTGATGGTGTTGAATTTTTGATTCAACATTTTTGATGTTTTATCAAGTGATGGTGTGGAATTCAACACCATCACTTGATAAGACACCAACAGTTTTGAAACAAAATGGCTATTTTTGTAGTGATTTTATAAAATATTTATGTTATAATTTTCTAATAAATTGTATTTCCTCTACTCTGTATTGAGCACTCTTTTTTAAGAATAGTATTTTTTGGTTATTGGAATTTATTCTGTATACACCAATCCTATACTTGATATATATATATATATATATATATATATATATATATATATATATATATATATATATTTATTTATTAAGACATATTTTTTATGTTTAACGCAAAGAAATTTTATAGATAAAAGTATTTAAGCAAATGCACTTTAAATGTTATTAAAATGTTTATCATAAACAGAGCATTTATTAAATTTTGTATCTATAAAATAACGTTAAACATAAAAAATATGTCTTAAATAATGACCTTGTCCATTTCTTAATATATATATATATATATATATATATATATATATATATATATATACCATAAAGTCCGTGTGCACTTTAAATCTATAAACTTTCAAAGTGCACACGAACTTTATGGACACCTTTGTATATATATATATATATATATATATATATATATATATATATATATATATTCAGGCATATACTGTTAAATATTGATTTTCTAAGCCCGGCTTAGATGTGGCACAAGGCCGAAAGTATGGGGCACCCAGTGAACATCAAATTCACTACTCAGTCGTAATCGATCTAGCAAGACAAACTTTCTAACCATTACACCAAGTCGAGGTGTCCAACATATACTGTTAAATGACAGACAACGAATGTCTATTATGTTTGAGGATGAGCCGTTTTAAGCTTCGTATAGTGGCTTTAGTTTCGGGAGAAAATAAAGACAAAATTGTTCAACATTTAGATTTTTTTCTTTATTATACTGTTCCTTGATCTAAGCTTTCGGGTCATATGAGCATCATCAAAGTGGTTATATGGACATTGTGTTATGTTGACATAGAAGATTGGTATGCGACGATAACGGTCACGGAATAGCAAACGCAGGCCGTATATTCGTAATGCGGTTCTATGACCTCGTATATATATATATATATATATATATATATATATATATATATATATATATATATATGCTTTTTCCATATATTCTCTTTAGGACGTAAGCGACCATGGTTCTCCACAACTTTCAGTCCTTCATAGTTCAAAACAATATTTCTCTCATATCTCCCCAATTCGTCTATTTACACTGCTTCTACTCAATTTGTTAGTGAGTGTCAATATATATATATATATATATATATATATATATATATATATATATATATATATATATATATATATATTATTTTTTTTTATAGGCACATATATTTAAATAAATTTTCTGTTTACAATATACAATATTAACCGGCCTGTATGTCCGAGAAATTTAATAGAAAATATGCGTCCTCCGACAGGAATCGAACATGCATCCTACACAGAACCGTCATATAGCCTGACGAGCTATACCAGTTTAGCTACGAAGGAGAGTCTGGTTAGAAAGATCGATTTTCTGCTCTTAAACAACAAATTTTCCCATGATTTCCCTCGATAGATGACATTTGTGTAGGATACAGGTTCAATTCTTGTCGGAGGACGCATATTTCTATAAAATTTCTTAGACGTTCAGGCCTATAAATGTTGTTAATACTTTTTTATTATAAAACAGAACATTTACTTAAATATTTGTGTCTATATAAATAAGGTATAACAATAAAATATATTAAAATAAATTGTCTATTTTCATAATAAATCGTCATGTATCAAAAAATGAAAATTCAATATTTAATATAAGTATAATTTTTTTCCCTATTTTCCTCATCTTTCACATTTTCTGTTCACAGATTTCTCAGCATCTTTCTGTAGATCCAGATGTCTGTTGCCTCGGTTCTTCTCTTCATTTATGGGAAGAGTGTCTAGCATAGACGGTTATATAGAAGGTTTGGCTTGGTTTGTTTTACGGCATATCAACCTCAATGGGTTATTTAATGCAGACAAGATTTTTATTCTGGTAATATTTTTTCCCAAAAATAGGGTGTCCATAAAGTTCGTGTGCACTTCAAAGTTATAAATTTTAAAAAGTGCACACGAACTTTATGGACACCCTGTATATCGCTGGTAATATCCTCCTCTTTAAAAATGCAATGCTGGTAATACTTTTTTCCTTCAAAAATATATCAATGGTAATATTTTTCTTCAAAAACGTATTGCTGGTAATAATGATTCCTTCAAAAAATTTATTGCTGGTATTAAAACCTATTTTTTACACTTTCATAGTGTTTTAACTCCAGTTTGGGGGTTAACTATTTGCCCATAGTTGAGACCCTAACAGGTGCTGCCACCCCGGGTCAGGGTGGACCTGCGAACACCAGCATTTAAGAGGTGGTTTCACTCTCCTCAAAAGCTCCTGATCAGAGACCTTGCTGTTGGATGTAATTTATCGTCTTACCCAGGACACGATTGTAGTTTATCGTTTTACCCAAGATGCTCATATAGAAGGATAGATTGTGTCGATTCAGAGTGTTGTAAAAAAAGAGCAACTGTAGTAAGATGGCGTTAAACTAGTAATAAAATCATAGTAATAATTAATGTCCTTCATTAAAAAAAAAAGCCATTTATCTTTTTTTTTTGCCTCTTGTAATGACATCTAAACCCCTGGCTTAAATGAAAGCGAGTTAGCCAGATTGCAGAGTCATGAAACGATTAGCGGACAAAAATTAGCTGATAATAAATCACTTTTTTTTTTATTTCCTTAGATTTCGATTTTTTCCCGCTATTTTGTCTTTTTAGTTTAATGTACAATAAAATATATAAATAAATAAAAACAAAAAAAAAACCAAAAAAAAAAAAAACATAACAACTGACACTTATTCATTGCAATAAATGGCAGCTCCTCTTTAAAATTGTTCAATATTTTTCAGTTTCCACCGGAAACAGGTTTAGCTTGATTGAGTGCTAAGTCAATAAATCACTTCTATAAGGATTTCTTGTTTTCAAACTACTTAAGTTTTCATCATTGTCGAAAAAAAAAAAAGCAAAAAAAAAAAAAAAAACGGTAAACTGGAATTTCAACTCGTGACAAGCGGTTGAACTGGTCTTGAACACAACTGACGATGCAAAGCAATTTTGTTTTCAGATCTCTCGTTCCGACAGGACGTAGACGGTCATGGCTCTCCATAGCTTTCTTTCTTTTGCTGCTGTCAGGGATGATTTCTTATTAAGACCCCTATTTTATGTCTCCCACTATTAATTTACTCAAACGTGTCAAGATGTGCAGCTGGTGTAACGGACAGCGTCTCGTGATGAGAAATCGGAGAACTGAGTTCGAAATCAAGTCAGGTTTGTTACAACCCCTTACACTCAATTACTTTTCGGAAAGGTATGACGCCATACCACCTACTATAGGTTAAATAGTAAGCATTACATCTGAGAAAATCAGTGTTATTCTCATAAAATTGTCAATGTAACATTTACTCGCCTTACCCACAAAAAATTAAAAAATATTATTTTACAATCAAAAATATGTTTCGGCCTTTAAATAACCCACAAAAGGGTGATAAACCGTAAAACAAATCAAATCAAAATCAAACTTGTCATTTTCGATTTATATTCTATCGTCGTATATTCTAATGAGAACACGAGATTCCAGACTTCGACAATTGCTGTCAGACAGTGAGTGTGTGGCCTTGGGGATTTCTCCTAACGTGGATTGTTCATACTCGCTTAGATGTTAGAGACTGTCCTTTTTTCTTCCGGGTGGATGTTAATATATTTATCTATCATATGGTTTGACCTATGTGTTCACATTCTACGCGTAGCTGGGTCGACTACGTGTTTACATGTCGAGAGAAGCCACTGATATCTAAATGAAGACGCTGCTAGATCATCATTCAGGTCAACTTGTTGATGCACCTGGCTTCTCTGATGGACAGAGAATTGACAGAGAGAGATAGACAATGTCTATTTAGATAAAATCTGAAGTGAGTTACATACAATGCTTATTTTGACAAGAATATATTGTCATTCCGCCTGGAAATTTATTTACAAGAGGTTTTCTCGTGTACGAAGGCCGGGAGTCGAAATAAAATACCGATTAAAAGAAACGTCTACTGAATTTCGCGTAT